GCATGTTCTTGTTCCTTGCCCTGAACTTTAAAACTTGGGACCTAATGTACTCCTGAGTTGACGATCTTTGTTAATATGTTTCCACCCTTCGATCCTGAGTTCTCCCAGGACGAGATCTCTTTTCTGAGCTCCCTACAGAGAGTAACTAAATTTGAAGTGCTCTGACCCGACACAAACCTCTCATGGTGTGTTCCTGGGTTGCCCCTGTCTCCATGACATATGCCCCAAGCCCTGGCCTTACTGACTCTCTCCTTATTTCCCTAGGCATCCCACCTCTTCATAAACCCAGGCTTTTGCACACAATTCCTGTTGCCTGGAGCAACTCCCCACACTTTGCCCCAAAACTCCTATGCATGGGAGTCTGGCCAGATGCTCTCCTCTTGGAAGCCTTTCCCGCCTTCAGGGCTCTGCACATTTTCCCCACAGCCCTGGGTCAAGGTGTTCTCCCTGGACTGTGACCTTCTCCAGGAAGTAGGCTCCAGTGTCCTGCACACAGCAGGTATTGGGACATGGATAAGGTAAGTTTCTTGATGGCTGCTTGGCCGCGGGCACAGAGCATTTGTGTTCCAACAGCCTGCAACCCCATGCCTGCCACTTCCTCTGCCGAGTCTTGGTTCACTTCTGTTCACCATGGCCAATGCCTTCTCTGCGGAGGATGTGGGCTGAGGACTCCGTGTCTAGGAGCACCGAGTTGACATGCAGGAGACTCATTAAACCCTAGGTCCCCTTCCCACTTCCTGGCCTTTACCCCAACCAAGGCTTCATGCCTTGGTTTTGGTTGTGGTCAGCTCCAGCCTTTTTTTCGTTATTAAGGCAAAGGGATAAAAACCTCCATTATCCATTGCCTTAGAGAGCCTAAATCATTATTTTTAAGAGTTAAAAAATCTTTATTAGTTGTTCAACATACCAGTGATACTCCTGGCTGTTATGGTGATTTTTGACACTCCCCCTTGTGGATTAGAGACCACTCACATTTTTCTAAGTCTGGCTGATCCTCGAACAAGGACTTCTGGCCAAGCATCTTCCCCCTCAAACAGGAAGGAGGGCTGGAAATCCCTGCAGGTTACATTTTTGGCCTCAGCTGTCAGAAGTGAACCAGCCTTCCTGTGTCACATCCCAGGTCAAGTGCATCTCATATGCACTTCTGTATTTAGCTGGCAGTCTTGCAGTGTGGGGGACTTGCATGGCCAAAGAGTCCCTGAGCTATTTGTCCAGGAAGCCTGTCTTAGAGAAACATAATTTGATCTTCCTACTCATAGTCTATTTCTTCTTTGAGTTTCCTCTCATGTCAGCAAAGCTGAATGGAATTCATTCGTGGCCCTCCCACATACACCCTACCTCTCCTAACACATCTGGTAAGTGTGGATCTGGGTGGTGGTCAAGGCAGAATTTCTCTCACAATAAAGACACTTTCTCTTCCCTCTTTTCTGCCCTCCTCCCATTGCCATGAGACCTTCACACAGGTTCATTGCTTTAAAAGTTTATTTCTGATGAATAAAAAAAATAATTTATGTGATTAGATAAATTAATTTATGTGATTAGACATTATGACAAGGGCAGAGGTTAATTTTCCTGACCTCCTATGGATCTTGCAGTGTGTCTGGAGGCTGAGGGAACCTGCCTTGTGTCATGTGGGGTGAGGACATGTGGCTGGAGGGACTCACACGCAAATGCTTCCTGGAGAGTTGGGAGTTGGGCTCAGAGGAAGGCTGAATCCAAACTCCCACCATAGAAAAGTGACAGCTCTTCATTGTAGTGTTTTAAAATCAATCAACAGAAGCTCCATCACACATTCATTCCTAATGGTCATAAACACACCAAACATGAGCTCAGAGGGATGAAGCCATAGTCTCAGGACATTTAAACGTGGAAGTTGGGATCCCTTTGGGAAGGAGTCCTTCCCTAGCAGAGGTCATCTCTTGAGCTGGCACTCAGATGGGACATGGGCCATTGGCACAGAAGTGTCGGGATCTTTGGGTTTCGGAACTCCGGGGACCGTAGCCTCTTAGCCTGGGAATTTCTCCAAGTTCCCCGGGTCCCCAAAAGACTCTCAAAAGCAGTGTCCCCTTGGTCAACAGAGGGTTTGTTTCCTTCAGAAATCTGAGAGCAGAACATGGTCATAATATGTCCTAGGGCCTAAAGGCTCCCAGAGGTCCTGCCAGAGCCCAGCACTTCAGAGCTAGGACAGAAGATTCTGGGGACCACCTGCCGAGGAGGAAATGGAGGCACCTCGCCGAGGCCTGTGAGTTCCCTGGGAGCAGAGACCATGGCTTACTTACCATCTTTGCCCTGTGCCTCCTACTTCCCTCATGAGGTTTTAGCCTTGGAGTCCCTTGGGAGGTGGAGTCTACTCTTTTTGAAGGTAGTGAATTTTTTTTTAAACAATCTTTGTGATAAATTAGGAATAGGTTCCTGTTGCTTGCACACATGTAGGCTGATAAATCAGACAGCTGGTGGGCAAGACCTACAAGAAGCTCAGAGGGTTTTCTGGGATAAAATTATGTGCCAACAAGATGGCAGGTGGCTTGGCCCTAAGCCTGTGCACAGACTGTGGGCTGGGCAGCTGGGCAACTGCCTTGGTGGATACATGATGCCCAGAGACCAGCCAGGACCTGAGTACCTGCTGGTACTGACCACCAAGGCCACCCCTGACTAGACATCAGTGGAGCTAAATAAGGCCAATCCGACCAAACATGGCTTAAGCACCTTTGATCTGAAGACTTTTGAAAGACAACACAGCAAAATCTAAACTCCCAAATCACCAGTTAGCACTGAAGTCTAGTTCAGTTTCCTTTTTTGACCATCAAAACCAGCAATTTCTGGACACAAAAATCAGCCTAAAGATTCAAAGCCCAATGCCAGTTTCCCTCAGGGGCAAAGCAGGTAAGAAAGGGCACACATCCACACACCTGCTACCCCTCACCACAGAGGCCCTTTCTAAGCTCCAGACCTGGGGCTGCTTCTACTGGGAACCATGCTATTGTCACATGCTCTAAAAGTTCATGCCCCCAAATGCAACTCATATACTTGCATTCTTTCTCTCTGAAGAACCAAAAGCCCCCTCGACGCCACACAGGGGTACTTGCAGTTAACACTTTGTAAATAATGCCCAAAGCACAGCCGTTTGGCCATTTTATGAAATGAGAAAAGACCAAGCTACCACAAGGCCATTCACATACAAACATGCAGGGAGGATGAGAAAGGGACAGATGAAAAACCAGGACTACACCAGGTGATGACTGGGAGCCAACCTCTCTAGACTCCTAGCAGCAGAAAACTTCAGACAGGCCATTTATATAGGTCCTACAAAAATAAACTGTGTTCTGTGACTGCCCCTTAATGTTGGAAAAGACGAGCCTTTCCATTTGGTTTCTCTCTGGAGGTTTTTCTGGTGTCAAATGAAGTTGGGGTTTTAAACAACCCTGAAGCAGGGATGGAGAACCCCCTGCTTGCCCTGGCCCCTACCCCCTCCTGGGATGCCAGAACGTGATAGACAGATGGAAAGGAAGAGGGGCAGCCTAGAGGAAAAGAGGGGAGGGTTGGGCCCTGCAAGGGCTTCCCAGAGTCCCACCTTGTGAGACCATTAGCACATTCAGACCCTGAGCTTTTCGGTCTGACTTCCACAATCTCAGGAAGCATCCTGCATCCTCCTCAGAATGTCCACCCAGTGCAGGTGTGAGAAGCTGTATTAGCTATACTCTGAAAGGTGAGCCAGGACTGGGCTTGCTTTTCCTTGAGAGGCCAGGGCTCCCCACTGTTTATCAGATTTGGTGTCACTTTCCCCAATGTATGCTCTCCACCTGTGGGTCATTTATACTCCTCTAACTTTCTACTTGTCTGAAAAGAAATTTCAATATTTGTAGCACTTACAAGTTATCTTATAAATGTGGGAAACTGTCAAGTTTATATTTTAAAACCATGGCATGGGCTAGGCTCTGCTGAAGCAGGATCACTGGCCAAGGTCAAAAGATGACATCTTTTGAGGACCAGAGCACCAATTTTTCCTCCTGGCTGAAAATTTGGAGCTATGAGACAGGGAAAGGCAGAGGTTGACTGCCTTCAACAGTCTTCAGTCTGGAAAACCATGTGCCTTCATTAACTCCTTTCTTTCTCTTACGGATTCTTTCAAAGTCACTTGCTACCTGGCATTAACCTCTATCCCACAAGCCATTCATCCTCCATGTATTGTAAAGGGTAAAGGCTCAGATTAAAGGAGAATTCAAGGTCTTAATGTGCCCTTCTTTGCAGAGAAGGGAAAAAGGAAAGAGGAGGAAAAAATATGAAATTCTGGAAGTGTGACATCCAAAAGATGGACTCCCAAAACACCCCATGTTCTCACCTTATATATAAGCAAAACTATCTAGTTAAAGGTTCACATTGATTTTAGGATGCATAGATTCTGAATACTAAGATATAGAAAAAAAAATGTCCTCTTGGGACGATAATGGGTTTCCCAACAGATGTCTTCCAATCTTGAACTCTGGTCTCCTGAGATTAGTGACAAGGGACTTGAAGATGGAGTCGCTTCATTCCGGCTGAAGCCACCCAAATACATAAGAGGGCTGTCACACTGACTGTCACAGGGAAGTGAGTTTGTGCACATGAATCTGTATGAACCGAAACAGCCTCTGCAGAATAAGGAGCCCATGCATTTTATTCCAGCCCCTGCTCACCAAGCCCTGAAAGGCTCCCACAACTCTGCCCTTTGGATTATGGAGGGGAAAAAAAAAAACTGTTTGATTTTCTGGGCCACAGGATACAAGATGGGTCTAGATTGTACAAGGAGCTTACACACTGAGGCAAGAAAGCGTGCAAACAGGAGCAGGGATTCTTTACCCTTTGGGTGAACCAGTGCTCAAGACATGGAAGGAGGACCTCAGTCACCCTCCCAGAGTCCACCTGGGTTTGTGTTTCTGACTTTTATTACCATGTCCAACTCCAACTTTCAGGTTCTCTTGAGAGGGAGAAGAATATCTATGTGTATCTATGACATCAATGATTTCCCCCAGGACCACTGTGTTTTTGTTTTGTTTTTCCTAGTATGATTTCACAAAGAGGCCCAGCAGCAGGCCTTGAGAAGACCAACGAAAGCAAAAGTGTCTGAGAACGACATAATACTGACTTCTCTTTTTTGGTAACAGTTCACAAAACGTGCACCCCTCTCTCCTGAGATATGGCGAGGCACAAGGGGAGGCGGCGGAGGAGCTGTGGGTGGGACACTGTACCGTGTGACATCAGGATCATGCAGCCGGTGCCAACAGGACAGAGAAGTGAGAACAGGACTCAGGGCTCTGGACTCGCCCCGGGGAGAAGGGGCTGGCAGTTTCCAGGTAAGTGCCTGGCTCTCAGAAACACTGTCTGTCCAGTTCTTGCAGGGCTAGCTCCTGGGGCTCGCCATCCTGGCCTGGACTTAGCCCTCATCCTCCCTCAGCTCAGTGGGTAGGAATTTATACTGCTGCTGGCGGATCTGGGCCAGCTTTTTCCTTGCTTCTTCCAGTTCTCTTTCTTTCTTTAGCATTTCCTCCTGGGCAGCGATGATCTAGAAGAAGAGCAACAAGCAAGATAATCTCATGCTTTTAAAGAAATCACTGTCTCCCGTGGGACACAGCAGTACACTGAAAATAGTACTCTTAGCTTGTGATGGTTTGGGTTTTGAGACCAATGACCCAACTGACCCAAGACAATGAGCTGATTTTTGGCCACTGATTGAACAGCAAACATCTACTGCATCACTGTTGTGTGCCAGGCTTGGATGTGAGCACTCCACAGAAGGCTGCCTTGTCATCTTTGTGGCAAGCCTGTGACATATGCTCTATCAAAAGTCCATTTTTCCAATAAGGAATCTGAAATTGAAAGGTATGGGTCTACCTCCCTATGGTCACTTAACTACAACAGAAGGAACCAGTCCAGGTGTTCTTAAAGCTAAAGCTGGTGACTGTCACCACTAGATGGCCTCCATAGAGAGTTAGCCCTTGGCATTTGGGAGCCTGGTTCCATAGCACCCCTTCCCATGGGTACTCAAGTACTTATATAAAATGCCACGGTATTTGCATATAACCTATGCAATCCTGCTTTATACTTTAAATCATCTCTAGACTACTTATAATACTGAAATGAACATGAGCACTATATATATATATATAATTGCTGTATTGTTTAGGGAGTACCGACATGGAGAAAAGTCTATACATGTTCAGTGCAAATGCAATGTTTCTTCTGAATATTTTCAACCCATGTTGGGTTGAACCCAAGGACATGAAACCCATGGAAGGATTCAGAGGGAAGACTATATTTACATGCTTCTATGATGATCTGAGGGATACTAACTGGGAGTTGTGTGAAAAGGGCAAGTTTGTTTTCCAGAAAGTCATATAAATTCCAATGAGTACTCTGACCAAGGTGGGATGAAGTATTGAATGTAGCATTTTCCTGATTTGTGTGACCACAGACCATTCTTTGTGTTACTTCTAATGGAAGAAGTACATCAAGAAACACATTCTGGTAAAAATACATCCAGTGCATTGCCAAACACAGGGAGAGTTGCGGGAAGAGCTAACTGATAGGGAAAACAGTCTCATATAATAGATCTGTGTTAACACACAGGAAAGAATTGCAAGCCTGGTTTCCTAGAGTTCCCTCCTCACTTCATACATGAGAATGCAACCCTAACTAAGTCAATCCCACATATTCTAAAAGTTCTGGGAGACATAAACGTTCATTCTCTCTGTGGGGCCAAATGGCTGAAGATAGCAGCAGCTCCAAATATATCCCTGTATTTAAATAACATTGCTGTTCTCCAATTTCTGTTTCATTTTCTCCCCACAAACAGAATCCCTGATTTCTAGTTAGGTAAATGGCTAATACTATACTTCCCAGTCTTCTGTGCAGCTAGGATGGTCACATGACCAAGTGCTAACCAATGGCATGTGAGAAGAAGTGATGTGTGTAACTTCAGGGTCATGTCCTCCTCTCCTTTCTTCCCTCTTCCTGGTTGATGGACAGCTGAGGTGGTAATTGAACTGTCTTAAACCAAATGGCCAAGGGCATTGGGGTGGTGGAATAAGGCAGATGGAGTTTGGGTCTCAGAAGTGAAGGAATCATCACACCATCCTTAGACTGCTTACACCCAGTTACATGAGGAGAAATAAGCTTATTTAAGTCACTGTTCTTTTTTGTACCTATTATAATGCAACACCTGTTTTGAGAATAAATGTTATTACATATTTAGTCACAAACCTGAGCAATGCCCCCGACAAACTTCGTTTTCACTACGACATCATCGTCGTCAGTTTTGCCAAATGCTGCCTTCTGGGCTGCACGAACAAGATTGTCTGAGGCTCTTTTCACAGCATTCCCTGCTGCCTGGAAGGGGAACAAAATGCACATCAGAGCATTAAAAACAGCGAGAATGACATGAAGGTACAGTTCATGAGAACATGAGTTAATTTATCATTCAATTATAACATAGAAGTTCTCTTTAGCCTGTGAGCATCTGTGTGTTTCTCCATCCATCCATCGATTCCACCAACACTGGCACTTACCTACCCACAGCTCATTCACAGATGAATGAGGTACACATTTTGGCCCCCAAGGAGCACAGACTTTTGTAGTAAGCGACGATAGAAATGTGCTGTGTGTATTAATAGAAGTGTGCTTAGGGCTGCCTCCTTGGCCTAGGAAACCATGGCTGCCTTCCCCATCAAACAGGGTGTACTTGAGGACATGTTGTTGCCTGTCTCCCTCCTGGACAGTGACAACTTGGGGGCAGGAACAGTAATTTGAATCTCTGCATCCCTAGAACCTGGCACAGGGGATATCCAGAGTTATCATCTACTGCAGATGATCTGAGTGAATAAGGGACTATGAGCACACAAGCAAGGGGGTACCCACCCCTGCATGGAGCACCGGGAGTCTCACAGTACCCAGGACTGCTATACTTTAAGTCATAGTTGAGCTTTATGCCACAAGCTTAAGGATAGGGCAAATTGCTAGAGACAGGTATAGAAAAGCTTTTCAATGTGGAGTCTACATCTTTGTTAAAGGCTGTTGCCCATTCTGGGGCTTACTCTCCCCCGCCCCCCAGTAATGGGGATGAAACCCAGGGGTGTTCTACCACTGAGCAATGTCCCCAGATGTTTTTATTTTTTATTTTGAGATAGGGTCTTACTAAGTTTCCTAGGCTGGCCTTGAACTTGCAATTCTCCTGCCACAGTTCCTGGGATTACAGGTAGGCACCACTATGCCTAGCTCTGGCTTACTCTTAATGCTTATGAAGCATGAGCCTGGGGACTTGTCCTCTGCCAGCTGATGTTTGGAATTTTCTTCTAATGGCAGTCAAAGCTTTAGTAAGCCTACCATATTCCTTACCCAGCACCCTTCAGTCAGAAGTTAGCAATGAGAAAATTGAGATTTTTTTTCGAAGTTAGCTGGCCCTTCTGGTTGATGATCTAAAGTGACCAATGAGGATTACAAGGACTTGCACAAGAAGAGGAAGGAAAGCAAGTTAACATATGACAAATCGTCATCTTGTGCTGGTTCTCTAAGGGGCTCTGTAGCCCCAGTTTTCTGATATGGAGACTGAGGTTAAGGAACTTGTCTAAGATCCTGTGACTTTTAAGTTTTACAACCAAGATCTGGATATAGGTTTGTTGGGCTCCAGAGAACTCCCGAGTTGCCTGTAAGGGGCTCAGACATGGCACCGTAGTGTCCATAAATCAGGTAACCAGACTGGTGCTGTGTTTAACCTGTGTGAATTGTTAGAACTTCCGAAACCATGTTCATGTCCACTATGCTGTTTGACCCTCATAAGTCCACATGGACATCTCCACCCTGACACTGCAGATGAAGCTTCTGAGGTCTCAAAAGTTCTGAGTGACCCGAGACCATGATGTATGTGGTAGAGGCAGGGCTGCAGCTAGGTCTCTTGTAATTCAGGTTGTTTCCCTCAGAAGTGTCCCCCAAACTCAGGAACTGCAACATTCAGAAATACACAGCTGGGGCTGGGGTTGTGGCTCAGTGGTAGAGCACTCGCCTGGCACGTGCAAGGCCCTGGGTTCGATCCTCAGCACCACATAAAAATAAACAAAATAAAGATATTGTGTCCAACTACACAATGTACTTTAAAAAAAAAAAAAAAAGAAATACACAGCTCCTAGTTCTCTCTAAAAGTCAGTAAAAGTGAGGGAGGTGGGTCAGAGAGACTTGGGAGGGTCACGTTACAGAAACACTTTGGGACTTCCAAAATAAAACAAGAATTCTGAGTTCTGATGGAGTGGTTCAAATATTTCTGCCCTTTACGATTTCATTCATGACTTATATAAATATATTTTAGCAATATAAACAATCTACATTTTGACACTTTACAGTAATGAAATTCCAGAAAATTGGAAAGAAACAAAATGTCCAATATATAAGAAAATTCTGGCATCATCATGCATGTAATATCATGCAATCATTAAAAATGAGACTCATGAAAATGGAGCCTTATCTTTAGGAGGAAAAATGTGTATGACAACATGTGAAGCAAAAAGAAAGCACAACGTGTCTTGCTATGATTACAACCAGACAAAACTATCTTATATGTAGATAATAACAGAACAGGAAACAATGAAACACTGATGTGTGGAGATGTTGAGGCTAAATGGTTTTTCTATTCAAACATTTAAAGTATTTTTATAATTAAAATGATCAGGGCATATATGCATTGGGAAGGATTTGATTGTCAACTTTGGCACTATGCTTTCTGGGCTCTGGGAAACCTTAGCAATGCTCAGATTGCTCACAGTTCTTTCACTCCCTGCTGGGTAAACGCTGATTCAGGGCATCCTCTGAGAGAGGCACTGGCTCCGGTGAGAGAAGTGCCAAGATGAAGACATGGTATGTAGGAAGTGCACAGCCTTGTCACAGATAGATAGCAAAATAAACATGGTGCCATGCCATGTGACACAGGAACCATAAGATTGTTCAGGCCAGGAGCTCTGGCAGGTGGCAGGAGGGACTGAGTGCCCAAGCCCCAGGAATTCAAGGAGGGCTTCCCAAAAGAAGTGACTTTGTGGTGAGTCACAAAGGATGAGTAGGAGTTTTCCCAGTTGGGCTGGCAGGAAGGAGACCCAGGCATCCCAGGTGAGTAAGGGCCCCAAGATATCAGCCCTCAAGTCCCAGGTGGAGATGTGACCTTGGTGGGGCAGCAGGTGTAGAATGCATGGACGCAGGAGGCAGATGATGAGGCTGGACAGTGGGACAGAGCTGGCTGATGAAGGCCTGGTGGGTCATGCCAAGGAAGTGAGACTGTCCCCTTTGGTGACACTTACCCGCTCCAACAGGAGTATTTTCCCACCAGCATCAGTGACCATTACCTGTAGCCGCCTCATGGCCTCTGAGTCCTGGTCGGCTTTCACTTTGCAGGCCACAAGCAGCTGAGCTGTGGAAGCAGCGACCTGCTTGGCAGATGAGATGAGCTTCTCCTCGCTGGCATGTCCCTGAACAGAGGCATTGGCGGCCTCACAGAGACTGCTGGTTGCAGCTGCCACCATCCGGGCCTGAGGATAGTCAACAGAGAAATGACCCAAGGCCCAAACCTCCCTCAGGGGATCCTCAAAGCAAAGAAGGAAGAAGGTAACTCACGGCAGAAATGAGTCCCTGTGACCACTGTCCGTCATCGGCAGCATTGGCGGGGCTGGAGCCCACCTGGAAAGGGGAGTGGGAAACCTGCAGTGGGTGCTGGAAGGCCAAAGTGGCCTGCAGCCCCCGCACACCCTTCCTCACTCTGCAGCTGGACATACAGTACTCTCTGGTGACTCCTGCCAATAACACTGGCCCAAGAATAGAGCAACACTTTACCTTATGGAACCCTGGCCGTGACCACACTACACCAGCACATCCTGGCTGGTTTCCACCAGGGCTACAAGATGCAATGGGAACTGCCAGGTACTGTGTTTCTGGGAAATGGCTCGGGAATAATGAGTTGCTGCTATTGTCCTCTGCTGACCTTGCCCCATTTTAAACATAGAAGCCACTAAGGCGTCCTCTTTCAAGTGAAAAGGGAAACTTAAAAGTTTCCTGATTACTAACCTGCCTGAGTTTCAGGCAGGTGATATTAGGAAAGGGCAGTGCATTTCCCTCTGTATGGTTGAGTGTGGACCCTCATCTTAAGGAGGGTCTTATTTTGTCAGAGGTGGGGAGAGGAGTAAGAGGCTGGAAGTAAGGAGCATCTCTGGTAAGAAAGGATTTTCCTGCAGATCTAGAGGATGTAGTTTTGGGGGGAAATACTTTCACAGGGTGGGAGGTGCCAGCGAGGGAAGGGATGAGTATCTCAATTTGAAAATGAAACTATGGATCTGTCATCAATTGTAGGCACCTGCTGGATATAAAAGGTCAAATCCCATGATCTTATATATTATTTTATAGTTCACCCAGGATCAGCAGAACCTCCTCTGCCACCTTTTAAAATGCTTGAACATGTAAGTTCCATGGAAGTATGCCATAGTCAAGGTAGATTTTTCTGGTGTCTAGTGCTGTGTTGAGTACAATGCCAACCCTTTAGATGTTGAAGTAAACTGAAATTTTTAGGTAGGATCTTCTGTTTGACAATTCATCTGTGGTCCTCACATCTTGACCAATCAACAAGAACTTGATAAAGATACAAGACAAGCTCAGCCCCTGCTGGATCTGCAGGTGCTAAAAGAGAAGCTAATGTGCCAGGTGGGGAGACCCACAGCATTGATCCTGAGTAACATCACTAATGTCTTAGAAAGAAAAGTCAAAGTATGTGGCTAAGCTCATAAAAGACTGGGGGAAGAGGCACAGCTGCCAGTCAGGCATGACTTCTTGTCTGTATAAGATCTCTCTACCCTGAGAGCAAAGGCCTTTTAATGTCAAACACAAATAACTGACAATGACAGTGACCAAATTCCCTAGACCCACTGCTTGAAAGGCTGCTGTAGTGCCTTGGGAGGCTCTCTGCAAAACCCATTTTGATAGGGTGGTTCCATGTTGTAGAGGAATAACAGGTCACCTGGTATATTTTCAATGGGAAGACTGCGCATATCCAGTAGTCCTCTTCTGAACCATTAGAAAAACAGTAAGGCTTTTCTGTTAGTGCAGACAGAAGGGAGGACTGGACATGAAGCAGACTGAAGAACTCTCAAGTTTAAACTCACACTGGCCTTTTGACCAAGAGACTTAGAAAAGTGCTAACTGCAAAGTTGGCCAGCGTTCAGCTCAACAGTCCTAAAAGCAAATGGAGCCATTTGCAGTTGGAAAGTGGTATCACAAAACCCCTGACTGTGGTGCTTATCGGGTCATTCACCAGGAAACTATGACAGTTTACATCTTTAAACAGCCTAATGTACAGTGGGAATATAAGTATCTGGTTCAGCCCTGATGGCTGGAATGGAATACGATCCTTAACAAGAAGCAGATGAGAGGCCCAGAAGCCAAGCCTTTTATTCGGTCAGTCGAGTTTAAGCAAACAGTTTTCAGTGGTTGGGGCAAAGCCTGGCAACTCAGGGAGAGAAGCACTTCACACATTTCCTTGGCAGGGCCAAAGGCTTTCTCTCTCTTCCTTGGCTGCTCCCTCTTGGGGAGTGCTCGACCACCGGCCAGTCAGGTCTACCCACCTTTCCTTGGGCCACCAGCTCCCTCTGGGCTGCAGAAGCTGATTTGACCAGGGCGCTTGTAGCGGCAGCAATGGATTTAGCAGCTTCCAAGATCTGTTCTTCAAAATCCAAGGTCTCATCTGCTTGCTATAATCAAAAGAAAACCATGTCATGTGCAATTCATATTCACAAAGGGTTCTTTCTGCCAGACTACTTACTGCTGTCATCTGGCTCTTCCTTTGCCTATTGCTTTTTGTGGACAAACCACAGCCCAGAAGAAAGGCCTAAGCTCTCAGGAGGCCTCTCCATCTGCTGCTGTGCCTGTCTCACCCCCACCCCCACTTCAGAAGGTAAAAGCCATTAGTAGTGACATTCTATACAAGTTTTAAATCAGGAAATTCTAAGGCAAACTATTCTTCCAGACCAGAATCTTTAGAGAAACAAATTCACTGTGAACAGATAAGCTCAAAAGGTTCCAGCAGCACCAATAACCCACATCAAAATAATAATCATCAAAATCAAAAGAGTGACTTGTGGCACACTCTGCCAGAGCTTAAGGCTCAAAGATGCCCTGAAAAATGGAAAGATGGTAATTTGTTCCGAAGTCTTACTTTTCTTGAGTAAAAACAAAAGCAAAGTAGTATTTGCATTTCTGTGGCTGAGCACAAAGGGAGTCATATATTAACCACAGACTGTCCAGTGGGGGAAACAAATCAAGATAAAGTGACATTGAGGTGGAGCCTGTTCAGTCACTTGGACACATGAAGACTGGTTCCACCTTGGGGGGAACCCTGCTCACCACCACTAAGTCTCCCGTGGCCAGAACAACCCAGGAAGTTGGGAAGCAGTTTTGGGAAAGTAGGGTAAGTGGAAAGACTGTGATCCCAAGCTGGGAAGGATGGAGCATCACAGTGGGGTGGTCAGACTGGAAGACCTTCGAGGTCCCCAGTATTAAAATTCTATGACATTAAGTCAATTTGGTTAAGCTGTCCTTAGCTCAAAGAATGTTAAACGTGTCTGGTGTGAAAAGATGATGGTCAGCCACAGCAACACTTTTCTCAATATGTGCAGTAAAATATACATAGCATAAAGTTTACCCTTTTAGTCCATTTTAAGTGTACAAGTCAGTGGTGTTAAGTACATTCACAATGTGCAATAGGAATTCATGTTTAAGAGTGCCTACTATGTGCCAAGCATTTTGTTAGGCACTGCTATGTATACTAACTTGTTTAGTCTCACCAAGAAAAAAAAAATCCTATATTGAAATTATATTTATCCTTATTTTTACAGTGGGAAAACTCAGGCTCAGGGAAGTGGAGTATTTGGCCCAAGGGTACATGGAAAAATGAACAATTGAAGCTAGAATCTAACACCTAATATCTCTGACTTCAAATGACGGGCTTTTACTAGCCTAGGTCTTAGGGCATCAATGAAGCTGATTAGGCCACAGGTTCAAAATCAGCCTGCACATGGGCCTAAATGAAACATCAGACAGGAAGGATAAATTCTTTTCCAGATCCCTATTCTTAATGGCCATATCTTGAACATCGAGAGATGCCAATTAATTGTTATTTTGTAACCCATTTTATCCAAATTAATTTCAATGCATATCTAGTGAATTTGAAGAATGATCCACTGGACATGCATTGAATAAGTTTTTTCATAGAGTCTTGCTCAAAGAGTATTCAGGAGAGAAATAAATTCAGCTCCCCTGGATGCATTTTGGGTTGGCAGGATATAGAATTAATTTACCGAAATACAAAAATGACTTGTCTTAAGACATTGACATAAAAGGTACTCTTATGCTCAGTTCCCAAATAAACTACACTAGACTTAATGTAGATATAGATATATGTGTGGATGTGTGTATATTTAATGACCTTGAGATTAAGAGCTTTTCCAACAATTTATTCTGCAAAAGAAAGTCAAGCACATGACAGATTAAGCCACTATGGAAATCACAGAATTTTTGACATAAAAGGGAATGGCACTCACTTTTGCAGAAAAGGAAATGGAAGCCCAGGGTAGCCCCTAAGTCTCCCAGACTTTTGTCTCAGGTGGCCTTGACTACATCATGAGCTCCAAGCTTGAGTTCACATTACAGTGTACAGAGTCACCAGATTTCTGATTTCCCAAAATTTATGATCCATAAAGATGAATTTCCTTAAAATTAAGTGCCAAGCTTTAGCATGGGCAGATCTGAGAAAATCATATCACAAAACTGAATTGAAGGGACTCCTACACCTTCCGCTGCTCTGGAGGTTTTTTTTTTGTTTTGGCAAAAAAACACATGTTTAAAATAGATATTCCACTTGGAAATACTTTTGACACCCACTTTTTTTTTCTGGCTTTGGCAGCTCTGTAATGCTCTTTGATGGGTCCCCAATTTTTTCCTCCCATAATCTCTAATGCTTTAAAACAGACACTGCACAAAGCCTAATCTCCAGGAGATATTTGTTCTGCTTAGAAAGTACTAGAATTTCCTAAGAAAGGCTCAACAAAGCTGACTGCACATAGGCATGGAAGGCAGAGTGTAGATGCTCTAGCTTGGATGGAGTCCAGGATGGAACCCACTGTATTTGTAGGATCCCTGCGTTGATCTGTGTCAGGGTTCTCATTAGGATGAAATGCCCACCCTGTCTCTTTCTCCTGCTGAAAACAGCTGCACTTAATGTTTCAGGACCTTTAAGCCTGAGAGAAAACAGGATCTCCCTAGGCCGAGTAGACTTGGTGAAAGGTCTGCACGTCCCAGCCAGTGTCCCCGTGAACTCTGGCTTCTACCAGCTTGCAGAATGGAGTCTGGGAGAAGGGAAGTGACGGTTGTGGGTCGGGGAGGCATACACTTAGCCATATTGCAAAAGGAGAGAAAGTCTCTGAAAGACTTTCATACATAAAAGGATCACAATGAAAACACAGGATGTGTTAACAGAATAATCCCTCCTGGAGCTGGGAGACTGGGGAGAAAAAGAACAGCCATGTAGAGCTGCTGCAAAGGGACCCAAGGGGGGAAGCTGCAGACCACGCACCATGACCACTGGGGTCTGGGTCCCCTCTCCAGAGGGGCAGTTATCAGTCCTCTTCAGCTGAGATACTTTGCTGACCTGACCCGAGGCAGCTGGATCTGCTTATGGAAGGCTGAAGACAGTGAAATTCTCCACAACTGGATTATATAAAGACCATGGAGACTGTTGAAATAATCTTCAAGTGAGAATGACTGATCTTACTATATGTGGTTGTTTCTATTTCTTTAAAATTACTGCATCGAGTGAAGGCAAAGAACTTAAGAAAATACGGCCTGAACACACAGTCCTGACTGCAGAATTGCCAGAGGATCTGGTTCATGATGCAGATTCTGCTTTGGCAGGTCTGGGTGAGGAATGCTTATTTCTAAGGGAGGTGGTTTTGGACTACTCCATGGGAACTGCTGGCCCAGACTAAGCAAAACAAATGCCAGTTAATCCCACCAGCCCGTGATCTGCTTTAGGGTACATGTTGTATTTTACTCAATTTATGTCTCTCTGCACAGAATCAGGTGGAAGAGCCCTGTGATAAATAGTTGTTGAATGGGTGCATCCATTCAAAAGCAGCAATTCCAGCATGCAGCCAGAGGACAATGCACATGGTAGGAGGAGAAACACATAGAATAAGTGTCTGCATCATTCACTGTCCACTCCTGAACCATGGGGGCAGGCTCCTGCCCTGTTTGAGGGCCTGGGTTGTGAATCCTACACTCTGCCTGCATATCTTAACTAGCATTCAGAGTTTGTGACATTTATTCATGTGCATACTAAGGTAAACACCAGGCATTTTACCAAGAGGTACTCTTTTTTTTTTTAAAAAATATATTTTTAGTTGTTAATGGACTTTTATTTTTATTTACTATTTATGTGCAGTGCTGAGAATTGAAACCAGTGGCTCACACATGCTAGACAAGTGCTCTACCACTGAGCTAGATACAACCCAGCCCAAGAGGTGCTCTTATTTAACAAAACAGCTGGGAAAAGTGCTAACAGATGTAGGAAGCATCTACTCTTCCTGATGAGGGTATTGGCTGCAGCCTCTCAGGGGTGAGTCTCTCTCATCTTTGGGTACAATGTCCCCTACCCTAGTCTCCTCCACTCAAAAGGCTATTGGCTGGGCCACATCCAGCTCTTATAGCCATTGTTTTTCCTGGCCTATCTGGTAGATTCCAGACTGTGATGGATTTATCCTCATCTGGGATTTTTTTTTATAGCTTTGAGAAAGGTCTAAGTGTCCTTTCGTTGTTATTTTTCCTGCTTGCTGATCTTTTGTAGGTGACCTTTTAAAAAGTGAGAGGCCTGGTGATAGCCCTCTTGGGAAAGGTTACACTTTGGGTTGGCTCCCTTCCAGCCCACTTCCCATACTTGGGAGCTCAAGAGAGCATTCAAGGCCCCTGTTTTGCTCTAACACATCTCAAGTTTCAGGAGCCAGAGTTCCCACTGGAGTAGGAGAGGGAAAGAAGAATGGAAAGGGAGAGGGAAAAGGGAGTCCTTTTCTCATTTTTATTTTGGGTTTTGGCCTTTCAGGGATTCTGAGAACATAATCTTCCCAATGACTCATTCTTCTTCATTCTCTCCTACCTACCTGATGGGTGTTAGAAGTAATAATTTGTGGATCTAAAGGATAACTGACTCTCAGTGGATGCTAAAGAACTTTCAGCCAATCATTTCATTTTTACTTCTATTACTATATTTTTTCATGTGTGGTTTTAAAAATTGGTCTTCAGTCTTTCAGCTAAGGTAGTTTTTTATCTGTGTGAACCCTATATGATACTCTTAGTTCTAATGAAGATTCTACCTGCCATTTCTGATTATAATCTAATTACAAAAGAAGAATAAATAAAAATAAAGAAAGCAACAAGTGACACATGATTCAGAGAGGCACTGGACAAAATGGGCATTGGTCACTGCTCAGCTCTGACTTGTGACTTCAGGTCTTCACTGTCCCTTTCTAGGTACCAGTTCATCACTTCTCTGTTTATGAGAAACAGCTCTGTTCTCTTGGTCTTTAGCTTAGACATGTTAACATTTCCTATTATAGTCTTTAGAAGATTTTGACCAAAATAAGCAAGAGCTACGTTTTTCTCTCTTCCATCCTCCCAGAAGCCCCACTTACTTCCAGCTGCA